TTGTGCGTGTACTGATGAGCAGGCATGAGATTGCACCCAGTATTGCATTACAGTACGCAGATTCTACTCGGATTTCTAAAATGCTACATTTGTACAACCATCAGTTTAGCAGTTTCAGAAACGGTACAACTATTTGTCGTGTGCCACATTGACCAGCTCTTGTCACACCGTCAGTGGCAGATTTATTACTTGAGTGGCACATTTTTCTGATCCATTTTAGCATGTTATTTTACGTATCCTTGGGGATTTTGTTGTGCTGCCTACCGAACAATGGATACTACCTTTTTCACGAGCCCGACTTCTACGCAAAGGAGGAAAGTCCAGTGTACAACCCGTTCAACACAGCGTGGGAAACCGTCATAAGGAAGTTACGGGGTCGAAATTCAGGAAGGCGAACAAGGCAAAGTAATCTACCAAACTTCCTAGAAGTTTAACTTACATTTTGCCATATGACAGTGTGTATACAATCCTGTTCAAACTGTTCATTATGATTAATCAAAACTAAATTTGTTCAGGGCAAATTTAGACACTGCTACCGACTATGAATTTCTGATCAAATAATTTTTGCAATTCAGCTAAACACTCAGAGACATGCAAGTTTGTTTGGGGACCTCAGGGACTATTGGTGATTTGACGAAAGTTGTATCAGATGATCAACATACCTACCAACATACTTTGCGGAATTATTCTCTCCAGTTCTGAGAATTTTCCTTACCTTATAATCCATCGCGTCAAATACATCCGGCATCTGGAATTTGCATCCGTCAAAATAAGAAGTTTCCTGTTCGATTCCTGATGTACACACCTGTACATAATATTACTCATATATTCGTCAAGCTACAAACCAAATTAGCGAACACTAGGTTGTGAATTCGCATGTTTAGTAAGCTAGACCATTGTAAGTCTTTTGGATATAACATTTGTCGGACAAAACGATGCACCAAGTAGGTCCTTTTCTCCCATACAAACAAATAGTCATTTATTATAGTACCCCTCGTCCTCATATCTATAGGTTTCAGAAGCATTTTTTGGTATTTTCTTTAGGTGGGTAACTTTTCATTCGACTTCTGCGCTCCTTTGCATACCCAGTAGGTTTTGACGGGACACCCATCTGGAAGCCAGCTGCATCTATCGTTTTATGATGTGATTAAACAAACTAACGTGCTCCACTAGGCCGCCTCATGTTTCATTTGACACGATATCCGAGATATCGGGACACATTTTCAGACGTAATACACTACTCGTAACGTTACTACAATCTCGTCGACAACCTACGATCGATTTCATCCTTCTTGGAGCAACCAAATTTTATTCAGCTTGGGTACATCTAGAACATAAGGTTGACGGTAGCTTGGGGACTGCGCATAGACGATGAGCCCCAGGAAGGGCGAGACGGTTCCTGGCCAGTCGAAAAGTTTCGGCAACCTTGAGAGCAGTGTATTGCGTCCGTAGAGAAATTCGTCCCGATAAGGGGAACCATCTCAGTGCGCAATAACGTCTAAAAATTCGCCACTGGCGACTACCTTATAGAGGAACAAAAGAAAGGAAGCTTCGCTCCCAATAATGAATACGCTAATCATTGGATCGTACAACTGACTCAGTGTGTTCACACCAAACTGGAAGGAGATGGTCAAACCTGCATTATACTAATTTAGTATATTTCTACAAATAATTGTCACACTGCTAGAAGAAGGAGCTGTGGACATCGAGGATGACAAGAACACTTCCATAAATATAAATCGGGATCTTCCACGTTTCAACTGGAGCATTTAGTACTAAAAATGTCTTCAGCCTATTACATACGTATTTCCCACAGCTTTGTTGTTCGGAGAATTCGAGTGATATTCCGAAAATTCCCATTTATAATACGAACACAGATGGGTTGACGAACATGTTTTCGGCTAGTTCTTTTTAAGTCATACAACTGCAAAGGTTAGGAGAGCAATATTTAACATATAAATGGAGAGAAAATTGAGCGAGATGACACTGGCTACCTATCGAAGAACAATTAGTTCAGGTCACCAATAGGATGACTTGAGCTAGTCAGTGCTGGGGGTGCTGTAGTTGTGTTCAGCACAAGGTGCATATGTGAGGGGAGGTGATTTGGACCGTGGTAAGTACAACACGCGAACAAAGCGTTTTTGTCGACAAAGGATCGGGCCGCGATGTCGTATGGCGATAGCGTAGGCAACTGCAATTGTGCGCTGCTGTACTGATCTGGGTTGACCAGCCGGCGCCTTGTAAGCAACGCGGAAACTTTGGCTGGGTATCACGTTGTGTGCAGTGTCAGCTAAATGTTGTACTACAGAGCTGGTTATCGTCCTCTTGGTGCCAGAAGCTATCCAGGCTGGATTGTGTTCCTTCATTCTTTGGCCGAGTTGCCTAGGCATGCGTCCGAGTAATGGTCCTTAAGTTGAATGTGACTTCTACAATTTATGGTGTCTCCCAAATGCTTGGACGGAGATGGGTCCCATAGGGACGCAATGCCAGAACGTCACAGTAATCAGTTTTACAATGGTGCTTGTCCCAAAAATTATGTGGACAAATCCTACAGTGTACTAGTTTTTCAGTCACGCTATAGATGTTGCAGATGAGTTCACTGAAATAATTTTGTATCTGTGTTGAGTTCGTTGAAATTTTACCAACTGTTAACAGTCATTCTAACCGGTGTGAATTCTACGTGAGGCTGGCTTGGTCAGCCGACTGACTTCCTCGTAGGGCTCTTTTCGTACAGCCACGTAAAGGATGAAAAAATTCAGTGGCGGTCAATAAATGACTTGGCAGCTAAGTATGAAAGCCAGTACCAGCGAACTCAGCTGCGCTAGTCATTGCCGTCTTCCTGGATGAGGACCCCGAGACGGACCATATCAATTGTTAGAGCCATTGTCAGACATGGCCTCAATGGAGCTCATGCGTCCAAGCTATTACCTTCAATGTATAGCTCCCTTCCCAATCCCCCACTAAACAGTTCACCTACAGTGCTGCATTCACGCACTAATTTATCACCCTCGGCTTCCAATACGCAGCTACCTACCACACCTCCCCGAATCATCGGTGAACGAAACTGTGACAGCTACAACCACTGTACGACAAGTAAGCGGTTATTACAGCTGACAATGATGATGGTGATGACTTGATGCTAATGTTGTAAAACGTTCCAAGCTTAATCAAAACTCCACAGTACTTGCCCATGTAACTCACAACCGAAATCGCGCCTTCCTTGGGAGCGCTCTAAGAGCCAAAAGCTCTTAGATGCTATTCCGAGGTAATATCCTATCCAAGCAGGGTAGACATCAACTAATGCATGAAATTTGTACAAACTGAATAACATGACAATGGGGATCAACCACTAGAAAAACGACCAAATATCTCTTTGATTGTTTATTGGATATTTTCACTATACCCGAATCTGACCCTTGGGAAAAACTAAACCGATCCAGGGAATGGAAACAACAGGACGATTACGTCTTGTGCTCTTGCTCGGGTGACTGATAAGTCCAGGATACTTTTCATTTCGCTCTCCTCTCCGGCAAAACCTCCAGTTAATTTTTCGCTTCCATGGGACACGTACCGCTATTGAGTACTCAAAATGATGACGCTAAAATGCGTTTATAATTCAAAGCTTTGTCGAAGCAGTCACAAAATTGTCAGTAGTTCTCTCTGTTAATACTCTGTCTGATGTGCGTGGGGTACTTGAAGAAAGGTTTAATACGTAAAGTAATTTCATACTGCTGAGTGAGACCACGTCCCTCGGCTGCTAAACTAAAATATGCGTCTACTACTGGCTTGACCGTGAACAATGCAGATGAAATGCAGTGTTTCATCAACCAAATTAAGATTGATCACATTGGTTAGTTTAATTGCCGAGAGGAGAAAAAATTTTGAGCGGCAATTTATTCCCGCGAGTGCAAATCATACCGGGGAACATCCACCAGGAGCGAAGTATCTAATAGAGCGAAGTATCAGAGCGAAGTATCTAATAGACAAGGAGTCACACACTAGTTGGTATCTACACGGGGATATACAGCATTCTGGGCACTTTTCTCGCCAGTCAGTTATATGTTTGAGAATGTGAATTGTGTTGAAGATGAGGGGCTTCATGTTTAAGGTCAGTTTCTCTAACTGGGACTATTTACAAACTACAGATGGTTGCTGGCAGTCGGTTTGGTTGACTAATTCTCAGCGATGAAGAATTGCTATAGCCAATATCCAGTGTGTCCACTCACTGTCCTGTCATTTTGATTGCGTTCGCTTATACGTACGTGTCTTACGAGCGAATTTTACCGCATAACATTTGTAATTCATTCGCAAAACTGACTCATCAAACAGGACATACGTCCTACGAAATCTGGCGTGAAGGACAGCGAAAAAAATTGACATTTATCTGTAAGCGATTTCAAATCAGCAAGGCAAATCTAAACCAACATATTTGTCATGAATCCCGTTCTTAGGTTACTGTGTCTTATAGTTAAAATAGTAAACTTGGTGAAAATTAAACCGCAAAGTAACAACGCTAGCTGCGATTCGTCCGACACAATAGCCAAGTTTTTAGGACAGCCACCTGTCTGGTAGCCCAAATGGTCAACTGGTTGGATGCCCTATGTGACTCGTGGGTGAGTTTGTCAAGTGGTGCTTGCTCTGGGACCACGGCTAGCTGAATGCTAGCACGGTTCATTTCTGGTGACAAAGAGCTGTAGTGCTCTGCATCCAGTCTTTGTTTACCTAAAACTGCACCGGACTTTAAGATTCGTGTGTGTAGTCAAAATCAAGCTATCCTAGATTGACAGATCTAGTAACACGTAAGTGCTAGTAGCTGACAGTGTCTTTTTCGCAGACGTCGAAATTGAGCAGAAAGCAACGAAATTCATCTTTTTTTATTGTATCTGGTCAGAATAAAAACAGAAACACAGCAAGTAAAATGAGGTAAGATCACATGGTAATATTGGTGATCCACGAGGAACTGTACTGCTGAAACGCAGGAAGAGCGAAGTTGGACGTAGTTAGACCATGTGTTTTAGAGATTTGATGGATGAAACGCATTGGGCATACTTGAAAATAAAATGGGGTGGGTGATGTAGTTGTTGAAGACAACTAGAAAAATAACTGAGGAGAAAAATAAATGCAATGGGTGAAAACCGGAGATTAAACTGTCGGAAACTCAAAAAAAATGAATATGAGGAAAGTACAACATGAAGTTCTGGATTTATCTGAAAGCCATCCTATCACGGTTTCAGTAGCAGTAACCGACGTTAGTAGAGTATTCCGAAATGATCGACGATAGAGGATCCCATAGAGACTATCCGCGAAGAAGCATAACACTGAACGCGAGCCCGGCAGCCTGTAGGGGAAGGCATCGAGAAACTATACAGCACTTTAGACAAATTCTCACCCAAAAAGTTGCTTGTCTATTATGGTGACTTAATTGCTGATTTGTCCAACCAGTTCCTAAATTTGATGGAAAATGTTTTCACGTTATCGGGATGTTATTGATCATGAAGGAAACCCATCATTAAGGAAACTACTCACAAGGTTGCTGAAAACTGTTCGACAGCCAGCCATCGGTTTCACCCTTCTTGGGGCTCATCAGGTGGGCGCAGTCCACGAGATTCCGTGAACCTTATG